AATGCAAAGTAAATAGAATTAAGATGTTAACAGAACTGTGATTATTCGGATTATGTGTTGTCAATAATGAGACTGTACTTCAACTAGGAAAGTACTTGTATGCAAACATCACTATCAAAATAAAAAGCAAACTTTGTCTTCATAACACAAGTGAACACAATTGAAAATTAGTATCAAGGAATTTTAGAATTTTTACAGATATTGTGATAAAATGATTCTTCCATTTTGTTTCGATCTTTAAACTATAAGAAATGGAGCTACTCATTATAGTTAAAAAAAACTGAGCAGTAACTGCCATTGTACCATATCTTAAATAAAACTTATCTCTTAAAACAGACAAGTGTGAGCCATAATATATCTTTTAATGTTCTTTTTAGGTAAATAGGACCTCATTTCCATACTTGAGAGCAAAGAGGCTTAATATTTTCAATGTAAGTTTAAGACTTGTTGCTTAGCAATATTCAAATGAGAGAGAGTGCCTCCTCCAGAACTGGATATAAAACAATTGTCCATGTGAATGTGTGTTAGATTCAGTAAAGGAAGAGATTTCTTAGCACTTAAATTATAACCAGATATGAGACCATGTAATCAAATGAGAACAATCCAACTCAGTAAATTTTGTGCAGATTAAGTTAGCTACATATCACTAATTGTATATGTATCATTAGGTGTGGTTCATAATCATTCACCAACCTCTCCTCATGAAGTGCCTGGTAGCCTCTTTATAGAATTGGCATGTAAAAACAAGGCCTCTCAGTCCTTGTCTAGATCCTATTTTTGTGCATTTTTTCCCCTTCTATCTTTAGCCCACATTTCTTGGCTTTCATGCCTTCACCAGTTCTTGATGTCCCTTTGCAAAGGCTTGATGTATTTTAGTACAGAGCTTACCAGGAGAATCTGCTACTCCTGTAGTTGCCTTTCAAGCTGCATTGCCCACTCTTGGTGTCTGAACATCTGTTGGTTTTATTATGCGTTCCTTGTTCAGTTAGTCTTGGTCCTCTCTCTGTGCAGCCTTTTATCTCTTCTCAAGAATCCCTTTAGTTTTAGTAATTGGCCCTCCAAGGGATAGAGCCTTAAATATGGTAGCTCCATAATAAACTGTATTGAATACATGTTGAATGAATAGTCTTAGACTTGATGCAGGACATGCAAAAAACACTCTTAAGCTGTAGGAAGAAATACTAGAATTTCTGCTTATTATCAGTTGTAAATCCCATCCTTTTATTTACTTTAGTGTATTTTATAGTGTAGACAATACATTCTCATACATTCCATGGATAGGTCTTCTAACTAGGGGGTAAAGTCTCAGTAATTGTTGACAGAGTAATTTCTCTTGTCTCATCTCTTTCTGGTCTGGTCAGTCTGGCTCCAACGGCCATTCTGCTGTGGTAGGCTCCACCTACCACAGGCTGACCAGTTCAGCACGATAGCCAGTACTGGGGTCACAATGGTCACCCCATCTTTCCAGCCTGTCTTTTAACCAGTTCTTACTGCTCTTTGCTGTGATATGTGCTTTCTATATTGGCAAAGTCATCATAACGGAAAATGTTTATTTATTTTGCCCCTGTATTGATTCGGAAAGGGTAGTTTCAATGACTACTTTCTTGAAGTATACAAAAAAAACCACCTTTATCTATGATGTCTTCCTGTTTTTAAAACCCTTCACAAGCCTCCCTTCCTCCAAATCCTTTGTGATACAGATAAAAACATTTATTAAAAAAATAAGGAAATAGCAATTATACAGCAAGGGAAAGAGTCAAAATCTTTTAAGGTAAAAGATATGTTCCAGGAAAGTTGTATACAGATAAAACTTTTAAAAATGAAATCCTACTTTAAAAAATGTATCAAGAGAGCTTGCTATTTATTTTCATTTTAACATTTTTATAAAGCAAAGAATCAATTTCATATAAATGACCATTCTTCTTTATTTTATTTTACAGGGTTTGCTTGAACTGAGGTATATCTTCACTAGGCAGTAGTTTTCTGTCTCATTCCTTTTAACAGGAAATACAGAAAGTACAGTTATATAAAGTCCTAAAATTTTTACACGAAATTTGAACAGAATGACACCGCTCAATCTGGCATTATCTTGATGACTTTGAGACAGAGTACCTGTGACCTTTTGTTATAATTCTGCATTGTAATTTAGCCAAGTTATCTTTAATAGGGATTCTCTGTCTTGATTAATAAAACATCACCATTCAACCAGCTGTTCAATCTAGAAATACTAGTGTCATCTTTCAGTCCTTCTTCTTCCTTATATTCATATCTAGTTTGTTATTGAGTCTTGTAAATTATACATTCATAACAATTTTCAATTTTCCTCCCTCTTTATTCTAACCACTATTGCCCTAATTAAAGCCATATGACCTTTTTGGTCTATAGCAATAATGCCCTAACTGGTCTTCCTGTTACCAGTCCTCCTGTCCTTCAAGCTTTCCCTCACACTGTTTCAATAATATTTTCTAAAACATGTATGTATTTTATTATTCCTCTCTTTAAAACAATCAATGTTTGTCTCTTAATTACTATAGAAAAACCTTCAAATTTCCTGATGTCCTACCCAACTACCATCACAATTATTCCTAAGAAACCTGGCCCCTCCACTGCTTCTCGCCCCCATTCCAAACTGTCCACATTTTGTGTAAACATTCCCATTCACTTCCCCAAATTTCTGTGTCTTTTTCTCTTTCTGTTTCCTCTACCTGGATCTTCTCCCTAACTGTCTGCCTAATGAAATATTTTAATATTTGTTCAACTTATCTTCTTTGTGATGCTTTCTCCAGACCTCTGCTTTTTGGTACTTCCACATTTCTTTTACAGACTCTTGCCGCATGATTTAATGCACTGAATAGCAAGGAAGCATGAGTCTATTTACCTTGTCAAAAGGGAAGCTCTTTGAAAGCAAGAGGTCTGCTATTTTGAGATTTGAATGTCCATGTTCATTATAAAGTCAATTAATCAGTATATGATATTTTGTACCCCAGGATCCTCTGAGCAGTTAGGTATGTCTGAGACTTTTTTTTAAAAAGTACTTGGTTACATTATTTACCATTTACTTGGTACCTCAAATTCAGAGACTTATTTCTTAATCAAGACATAATCTTGATGAATTGGGAGATTGGGATTGACATATATATACTAATATGTATAAAATGGATAACTAATAAGAACCTGCTGTATAAAAAAAATAAATAGAATTCTAAAATTCAAAAAAAGAAGACATAATCTATAACTTTCAAGAAGCACTTTTCAGAGTGTTAGTATATGGTAACCTAATTTGATGTTTAATTCTGTAGTCAGATTTAAACTAAGACAGCACTGTTCTGGGCCTCTTAGTCCTTACAATCATATAAGAGAGAAGAATATGTCTGGAATCTGGATGTCAAATCTGACAACAAAATCTATACATGCTTCAGGATTTGAGTTACCCCGTCAATTTTATTAGTATCTTAAATTTAGTTATGAACTTCTCATTTTAAAAAAGCAGTTAATATATTATTTAATATGAAATTTCAAGTGTATCTATATAGACATACAGCCAAAGAATCTAGTAACTACTCCTAAATATATTGTTCATTATTTCCTATCTTATTTTATCCTTTTAGTAGATCATACTTGTTGCAATTTTAATGAACATTTTATTTTATAATATTTTTATAATAATTCTAAATACTATTCTCTAAGGTTGTAAATAATATGCATAGTAGAAAAATCTTACATGCATTGTTCCATAACTTGAAAAGTCGCTTTAAGTTATACATTTATAAAAATAAAAGAGAAGAAAATAAAAGCCTTGAAAAGAAAAAGAAAATAATTATGACATTTTCCAGTTAGAAAATGGATTTGAAAATACTGCTTTTCTAAAATGAACAATTTATTTTCAGACTTGATAGAATTTTATTTTATGAAGCTTTTTGATCAAATTAGAAGATCAGTAGATACTTCTACCTTATATATCAGACTCAGATTAATTTATTCTCCTTAGAACTATTTCATTGTTGGAGAAATTAGTGAAAACATCATCAATACATTAATGTAGAGGATTTTTACAAAGCAAACATAGTAAGGGTATAACATGTTTTATTCATAATACTAAACTTGTATCCATTCTAGAGCAGTTAAATACAGTGAGGTTTCAAAAATAATCTCATAGAAAATGAAATAAAAGATAACTAAATAAAAGATTTGCCTCTTTTAAAATAATGCATAATGTCAGAATAAGAGAAGAGAATAAAAACGACTTGAATAGTTTTACTGACTCATTTTTCATTGAAGCTGAAATGAGTCAATGGTGAGGGTTCTGTTTTAAAAATAACAGACTAGTATAATTTTACAAATTATTAGCTTTTTGACAGCTTGAGACTTAACTCCTTGTAATAATAACCAAAGAGATCAGTGGAATGAATTGGTTCCTGAGTTAAGTTGAGATCGCATTATTGACAGATGATAGTTTGGGTCTCAAGTTTTAGCCTTCTACTCCTGCTCACATTTCCCCCAAGTCCCATTCAAAAGAAGGTTGAGAGTGTATCTATATATCTCCAGAGAAACCTACATTGTTCATTTTTAAGTATTATCAGACGTTCCATAACATTTGCTATGAGAAAAAAATTTTCATTTCCTAACCACTGGTTCTTCACCATCACTGACTTAATTGATTGTACCATTGGCCTGTAGAGAACTCCATTTAAAGGAGATAACTATTGAAGCATCAAAAATACTCAGGCAAAGGCAGATTTTTTGTGAGGGCGGTAATGATGTGAATCTCAAGCATGATGTTAAAGTCCCCACAGAGTGGAAGAAAGGAAACAGTTAAGTGTCAATTCTTTTTTAAACCAGGCACTCAGATAAAACAAATACTTCTCAATTAGATAATGATGTTAAGTTGGGAAAATAACAAATGAGAGCAGAAAATTAGAAAACAAAACCAGAATTACTCTAATAACATTAAAAATAATAAAAGTAAACAAACTATATTGGAAAAGGATGTATAAACTTACAGTTGTTGTATAAGCAGCTTCTGGATCATCTTCCAGCACTCGGGAGAGACCAAAATCAGAAACTTTGCATACTAGGTTGCTGTTGACCAATATATTCCTAGCTGCTAGATCTCGGTGAACATAACCCATATCAGAAAGGTACTTCATTCCTGATGCAATGCCTCGGAGCATACCAACCAACTGGATGACTGTGAAGTGGCCATCATGTTTCTGAAAGAGAATCACAGTTATTTACATTGATTTATTTTATTGTAGTGCATGTGCACACATGCATGCATGTGTGCCTGTTTGTGTAGGTGTGTGTGGTGTTTTAAATGAAATTCTTGAATTTATTTTACTGGATCCAATGAATGTAAGTATCAAGTTTGCTGATCATTGACTGTGTTCATAACAAAAGATAAAAATTTGTTGGAGATTTAAAGGAAAGGAAAATCTAGCTTGAACTGATGAAGGAGGGAAAAGAAAGGAGAGAAGAGAATCAACCAAATTAACTTCCAGAAAAAATGATTTCAAAAACTTTAAGTAACAAAAGGGAACTAAAATCGAGTAAGATAGTAGCAAAGACTTCCAAGAAAAAAGAATTCACTTTCCATAGTAGTGAGCTCCCAAGGCAGTAAAACCTAGGATGTGATGAAAGCTGTGTGATTGCTGGAAATATGGTGAAAAATAATCAACGAAAAAGAAAAAGTGATTGCATAAACGAGTTTAGGAAAGTTGCAGGAGAATGGAAAAAAAACCCCACATGCAAACAGAAAATAACTAGATTTTCCCAATCTTTCCTTATACAGTTGACTCTGAAACAACATGGGTTTGAACTGTGAAGGTCCACTTATACCTGGAGTTTTTTCAATAAATACACAGTTGGCCTTCCTCACCTGTGGGTTCCACCAGCCGGCAGATAGTGTACAGTACTATGTTTACAGTCCTGGGTTGGTTGTATCTGAGGATGCAGAATCCACGGATACACAGGGCTGGCTATGGAACTTGAGCATCTGCATGTTTTTGTATCTGAGGCAGGTCTTGGAACCAATCCCCCGCGGATACCCAGGGAAAACAATATAGAGCAAATATAAAGAAAGGTGTTGGCAATTGACCGAAAACAGGACTATTTTATTATAGTTCCCAGCGGGAAAATTAAAAGAAATATGAATAACAAGCCAAGCACAGCACTGGTATGTAGTAATTAATCCCTTGACTATTTATGCCTCTCACCTTGATTTAAAAAAATATTTTTAGCTGAAGTATAATTGATTTACAATATTGTGTTAGTTTCAGGTGTACAGCATAGTGATTTAGTATTTTTTGCAAATTATACTCCAGTATAGGTTATTGCAAGATGATGGGTATACAGTATATCCTTATCTATTTTATAAATACTAATCTGTATATATTAATCCCATGCCCTTAATTTGTCCCTCGCCCCTACACTCTCCCCATTGGTAACTACAAATTTGTTTTCTAAATAAAAATAATATTTTTTTTAAAAAAGTAAAAAAAATCCAGTTGTCATTCACACAAGATGTGTGCACCAACAAGACCAGATACAAATAGTACAACAGTACAAATGTAGAGAAAATGAATATAAAAATAATTTAAGTTTGAAAAATAATGCATATTGTTCTACTTAGTTATTTGGAGATTGTTGTCATTAATGGGGTTATTGAGAAACATGAGATTCTCAAGTCGGTTTCACACATCAGGTAACATTTATTTATGAATGATATTAAAAATTAATATCTATTAAGAGACTAGAGGACTATATTACCTTATACAGTGTGATAGAGGCATACATAAGAGTATCTCAAAATTTGCAAAGTTAAAGCAGATTTCATGGATATATGATTTAAAACTATAGAGTAGCTTAAACACAGTGACAATTTGACCCTATCACAGTGACATGGTCTCCTGTACAATGATGATTCATCAGTCAGTTAAATAAATAAACTTATATTACAAACAGAATAAACTTCATCTTACTTTATCAACATACGTCCCCGATAGCTCTCTGATAATATCTCCCAACTCAAGTGCAGAGTAAGGAAAAGAACACTCTCTTAAAAGAAACATTCTACAGCAAGAGTATCCATTTAAGCAGGCTCTTCTGTATAATTAATGTATAAAAGATAACCTAGCAAAGAAAATCTTTGGTGTTATTAGCTCTTTATGTTTCCCATCCATCTTCTTAGACAGTGCACAATTAGATGAAATCTGCCTCTTCTGTCATGTACCCTACCTACCTCTCCTCTATTAGGAATCTCAAAGCCTTTGAAAGCATAAATTCTTTTGGACTAGAAAGGATTACACTAATTTTAAAGAGATAGTTCTTTTACGTATTAGTAAGTGAAGTTGTCTGGTATCAACAGTTTTTGTCAAGGCAGAATTTCTGTATAGTAGGAAATGTTAATGGATGATCTGAACACTAAAGAGTGCCTCGGTTTCCTTATCTCTACAATGAGAATAGTATAATCTAACTCAGAATTGTAGTGAGAATCACATACAAAACACATAGCACAGCCCATCATTTATTTTAGTAATAGTCATTATTTAATAAAAACTTATAATCATATGTAGTTTTTGTCATTTTAATATTAATCAGAAAATTCTCCACTCACTTTCCTGAAAAATCAGTTGGCAACAGAAACTCTTACATTATAAAGAGAAATAGTTACTTAACACCAGGTTGAAATTTAACTTCCTATCTTGTTCTGAGCGTGGCACAAAGCACCAAGTTATTTATTTAAAAAAAAGGCTATTTTTTGGAACACTTTTAGGTTCAAAGCAAAATTAAGAGGAAGGTACAGAGATTTCCCATATACCTTCCGCCCCCCCTCCACATGCACAGCCTCCCCACACGATTATCAACATCCTTCACTGGAATGGTACATTTGTTACAATTGGTGAATCTGCAATGACAAATCATAATCACCTGAAGTCCATGGTTTGAACATTAGGATTCATTCTTGGTGTTGTACATTTTTGGGTTTGGACAAATGTATCATAACATGTACTCACCATTGCATTATCACATACTGTTTATGTATAGTATCATATATCAATAACATAGTACTTTCACTGCTCTAAAAAGCCTCTGTGTTCCACCTGTTTATCACACCTGCCACCCCCCTCCCCTGGCAACCGCTTATTTTTTCATGGTCTCATAGTTTTGTCTTTTCCAGAATGTCATATGGTTGGAAGCAGTATGCAGCCTTTTCAGATTGGCTTCTTTCACTTAGTTATATGCATTTAAGATTCCTCCATGTCTTTTCATGGCTTGAGAGCTCATTATTTTTAGTGGTGAATAATATTCCATTGTCTTTATGTACAGTTTATTTACCCATATACTTACTGAAGGACATCCTGGTTGCTTCAAAGTTTTGGCAATTATAAATAAAGCTGCTGTAAACATCTCTGTTTATAGACTGTTTATAGCAGTTTATATAGCTGCAGGCTTTTATGTGGACATAAGTTTTTGATTCCTTTGGCTAAATACCAAGGAGGGCAATAGCTGGATCATATGGTAAGAGTATGTTTAGTTTGTAAGAAACTGCCTAACTGTCTTCCAACGTGGCTGTACCATTTTGCATTCCCACCAGCAATGAAGGAGAGTTCCTGTTGTTCCACATCTTCACCAACATTTGGTGTTGTCAGTGTTACTGATTTTGGCCATTCTGATAAGAGCAAAGTGGTATCTCATTTTAATTTTCATCTCCCTGATGACATATGACGTGGAGAATCTTCACGTCCTTATTTGCTAACTGTATATTTTCTATTGTGAGGTTTCTGTTAAGGTGTTTGGCCTTTTTTCTTTCTATTGTCTTTTATTTCCTTTCAGCTTGCTTTTAAAAAAACTGAAGTATGGTTGATTTAAAATATTATATTAGTTTCAGGTATACAATGTAGTAATTCAGTATTTTTATAGACTACACATACAAAGTTGTTATAAATATTGACTATGTTTCCTGTGTTGTACATTATACCCTTGTAATTTATTTATTTTATACCTAGTAGTTTGACACATTTTTTAATTGGGCTGTTGATTTAATAGTTTTTGTATATTTTGGGTAACAGTCTTTTATTAGATGTGTCTTTTGAAAATAGTTTCCCCAGTCTGTGCCTCCTCATTCTCTTGACGTTGTCTTTTACAGAATAGAAGTTTGAAGTTTTAATGAAGTCCAGCTTATCAATTATTCCTTTCTTGCATTGTGTCTTTGGTGTTGTATCTAAAAAGTCATTGCCATATCCAACGTTGTCTAGGTTTTCTCCTATGTTATCTTCTAGGAGTTTAATGATTTTGTGATTCACATTTAGATTTGTGATTTATTTTGAGTTAATTTTTGTGAAGGGTGTAAGGCTCTGTGTCTAGATTCTTTTTTTTTTTTTTTTTTGCATGTGGATGTCCAGCTGTTCCAGTGCCATTTGTTGAAAAGACTATTTTTTCTCCATGGTATTACTTTTGCTCCTATGTCAAAGACCAGTTGACTATGTTCATCATAGCCTCTCTATTCTGTTCTATTGATCCATCTGTCTATTCTTTCACCTGTACCACACTGTCTTGATTACTATAGCTTTATAATAAGTCTTGAAGTTGTGTCAGTCCCCAACTTTGATCTTCTTCAGTACTGTGTTAGCCATTCTGGGTCTTCTGTCTCTAAACTTTAGAATCAGTTGGTTAATATCATAAAATAACTTACTGGGATTTTTTTTTTTTTTTTTTTTTTGGTATGCAGGCCTCTCACTGTTGTGGCCTCTCCCTGTTGCGGAGCACAGGCTCCGGACGCGCAGGCTCAGCGGCCATGGCTCACGGGCCTAGCTGCTCCGCGGCATGTGGGATCTTCCTGGACCAGGTCACGAACCCATGTCCCATGCATCGGCAGGAGGACTCTCAACCACTGCGCCACCAGGGAAGCCCCAACTTACTGGGATTTTTATTGGGATTTTATTGAAATTGTAGATCAACTTGGGAAGAACTACATCTTAATAATATTGAGTCTTCCTATCCACAAACATGGAATATTTCTCCATTTATTTAGTTCTTCTTTGATTTCATAACAGTTTTGTAGTTTTCCTCATTTAGATCTTAGACATACTTTGTTAGATTTACACCTAAGTATTTCATTAGTGGGGTGCTAATGTAAATGGTATTGTTTTTAATCTCAAATTCCACTTGCTCATTACTGGTATGTAAGAAAGCAAATGACTTTTGTATATTA